AACCTGCAGTGTATATATATATATATTTTTTCTATTTTAAAAATTAAACTAAATTAGTTAATAAAATTAATAAAAATAAATTAATAAAATTAATTAGTTCATCCAAGAATAAATTTTAATTCTAAATGTTTTGGTGAACAGTTTTGAAATTGTTAAAAATGGCCAAAGGCATTAGAGCTTTATTGGATACCGTAATGCAAGCCTTACCCCAAGTTGGAAATCTGGGTCTGCTTTTCTTTCTCCTGTTTTTTATTTTCGCTGCTCTTGGAGTTGAATTGTTTGGTCGCTTAGGTAAGTGCATTTTGTAAAGAATTTGTTAACAAAAATTCCTAACATTTTAATGGATTTTTTTTAATACTCAGAATGTACAGAAGAGTTTCCTTGTGAGGGTCTCGGAGAACATGCCCATTTCAGAAACTTTGGTATGGCATTTCTCACCTTATTTCGAGTCGCCACCGGCGACAACTGGAACGGAATAATGAAAGTACGTAGTTTGATTCTAATTGCTTAATTCATTAACGGACGTTGCTTACTAATGATCATTGTCCACTTCTCTTCAGGATACTCTCCGAGAATCGTGTGATTCTTCGAGCGATTGTGTTCGTAATTGTTGTGTGTCTGCTTTCATTGCACCGTTGTACTTCGTCGTGTTCGTGTTAATGGCACAATTTGTTTTGGTGAATGTAGTTGTGGCAGTATTGATGAAGCATTTGGAAGAATCGCACAAACATATGGAAGACGATTTAGAGATGGATGCGGAAATTGAACAAGAGCTGGCAGCCGAACAAGAACAGAAACTCCGAGAAGTTGCTGCTGCCGAGAGTTTGTTGGAAGTGGTAATTTTTTACTTGCCTAATTTTATTAATCTTAATATAATAATTAAATTTAAAAAAATAACTTATTATTATTAAATATTTAATATTTTACACGTTGTTTTTTTTTAGATGGACCGCGAGGAAACGAACATAAATCAAAGGTTACACAAACCAATAGTCAAGATGGCCTCACTTCCAGCAAACTTCACGTTTACGTTCAACAACGGCTGGGATAATGAAAAGGATTATGGTAAGTTAATTACACGATGTCTTATATTTTAAAATATAATATTCTTCTCCCTATAAAATTTATTGAAAGACGAAAACACTACCAAAGAAAAATATGTATAGAACGTGACGTATAATTCACACGACACGTAGAAAGAACGTTGTAAAGAATGAGATACAGTATATAAAATATTTAATGTAATTCTTTTGTTAACTGAACACAATTTATTGACGATATAATTGAACCTGATTTATATATATATATATAAAGGTTAGAAAAGTGAATTTCTGTTTTCTAATTATAAAAGTTGTATTCTAGAAATTATCCGAATAGTAATTATCACGGATCTGATTTTGACAGGATGGTTGCTTGGTACAAATGCCATTCCGGTTATTTTCTATATCACAAATGGGAGCTTAATTATAGAGGTATTATTGAATTAATTGCTTTCATTCGTTCTCTAGGAGTGGCTGT